TACTAAAAGTTACTGAAGAGTAAATAAGAGTTATTAAGTCTTACTGAAGAGGTACTACGACTTACTGAACAGTTACTAAGAGTTACTGAAAAGTTACTAAAAGTTACTGAAGAGTTACTAAGAGTTACTTAGAGTTACTGAATAGTTATTGAAGAGTTACTGAAGAGTTATTGAAGAGTTACTGAAGAGTTACTAAAGAGTTACTAAAAGTTACTGAAGCGTTACTAAATAGTTACTAAGAGTTACTAAAGAGTTACTAAAAGTAATTGAATAGTTATTAAAAGTTACTAAGATTTACTAAAGAGTTAGTGAAAAGTTAGTAAAAGTTATTGAAGAGTTACGAAGAGTTATTGAAGAGTTACAAAAGAGTTACTAAAAGTTACTGAAGAGTTACTGAAAAGTTACTGAAGAGTGACTAAGAGTTACTGAAGAGTTACTAAAAGTTACTAAAGAGTTGCTCAAGAGTGACTAAGTGTAATATCCTAAATTTTGCAATCAATTATATAAATAAATTTTGTAAGTTATAAATATGTACTAAATATTATGTAGAGTTATTATAAAAATAAAATATGATTTTTTTGTTTATAGTTATTTTATCTTAAGAAAATTATAAAATAAAATCCAAGGTTAATATTGTGTCAAATAATAATTTAATAATAAAATTAAATAAATGAATAAATAAATATTTAGAAATTTAATACTAAAAAAAAAAAAAAAGAAATTTACGAAAAGAGAGAAATGGTAGTCGGGAACCATAGCTTTGATCAAGTTAGTGGAACCTTCGAATTGAGTCGGTGAAATAAGGCGGTGGAGAATAAAATTAAAGAAAATTCGAGAAGGAGTATAAGTCGGTAAGATAAGTTTATAAATAGGAAGAAATTTGAAAACTTACTTATACAAAAAAAAAAAAAACATACAATTCCCGTAACTTACAAAACCAACAGAGAGGCACCAGAATTCTGAGAAGAAGAATTCGAGAGAAAGGAGGAAAGAGGAGCATAAGAAATTAAGAGAGTAAAAAGATTTTGAAGGAGCCAGGTATGGGTTAGACGTTTAGTTTTATTCATACGAATGTCTGTAATTTTGAAATTGGAGATTACTATTCATCAATTGCAAAGTTTGAAATATTGGTGAAATTCTTTCAATTAAGGATGAATTATATAATAAAATTGTTGTTTTTAACTTAAATTGAACATGTTTGTAGTTTCATTTTGATTTGGAACTAATTTGGGTGATTGAAACTGAGAAAATTGAAAAATGGATTTTGAAAATGGCGTCTTGGAGATGATTATTATTCATATTTTGCAAAGTTTTAAATATTGATGAAATTCTTGAAATTAAGGATGAATTATATAGTAAAATTGTTGTTTTTGACTTAATTTGGACATATTGCATGTTTAATTTTGATTTAGAACTAAATTGGGTGCTTTAAATTGAGAAATTGAAAAATCTGGATTTGAAAATGGCTTACAGGGGAGCGAATGAAGAAGAAAGGACTAGGTGGTAATTTTTACAAAAGATTAAGGGTAAAATAGTCATTTCACATCTTAGGGACATAAATGGAATTTTGAAAAAGATCAAGGGTAAAATAGTCATTTCACACATTAGGGACACAAATGGAATTTTTGAAAAAGATCAAGGGTAAAATAGTCATTTCACATCTTAGGGACATAAATGGAATTTTGAAAAAGATCAAGGGTAAAATAGTCATTTCATATCTTAGGGATATGGATGGAATTATAGGAAATGTTCAAGGGCAAAATTGTCATTTTACAACCTAGGGACATAAATGAAATTTTGAAAAAGGTTAAGGGTATAATCGAGATAAAGTCAAACAGTATATTACACCCTCTTTGTTTACTAGGAAAACGACTTAGTAAACGTTAGAATTTGAGGATAGTGCCTTCATCAAAGTTATAGGTTATTGTCTTATCTTTCCAACACAATTGGAATCATCTTAAAAGGAGGTATAGAACTCAAGATATGGACAAAATACTGAACCCTACGAAATAAATTATTAATAGAAATTGTCTTGCTTAAAACAACTATGAATTGTAATTGAAATTTTGAATACATGAAGGAGATATTTCTAAGTACTTAATTGATGATAGATTGTTTTGTTTCATACAAAGACATAAACATAGTGCATGACATGTTTTACGGAAGTCACGAGAAAATTTTTTACGAGAAAAGTATTTGGAAATTTATCTTAAGTTGCTACCAAGGACGATTGGTAGGAATAATGATGTGCAAAATAGAATTTTAAAAATATTTTTGTGAGTCAATTTACTATCAAGAGCATTTGGTAGTGGAATATGACTATGAAAATGGGCTGGCCAAATGAGACAGAGAATGAATTATTAAGAATTGAGCTACCGGAATCTCCGATAGTAAATGGGGGAGTAGAATAGGTAAGACAGGACCTCCGGTCTATGGGGATGGACCTCTGGTCTAGGGAGTGTTTGGGCATGGGCAATTCCATAAGTGGCCGGTCTTTATTTGATTCTGTGTCGTGGTAGCCTGCCGGGTGCACTGACACTCCGACTACTGTCTACTTATTCGCGTTTAGTGGGACATTGCCGAATCACCGGACAGGGTGATGTTAAGCTCTGGTTCCACTAGACACTCAAATGAGTCTCCATGGAGCACTGAGTCAAAAATAAATTTTTAGATTTTGAGTCAAAAGCATGATTTTAAAGTTTTACGTTTTGAGTCACATTTGCATATCATAAACATGTTGGATGATGAAATTGTAGATTATTCATGATTTGTATGATATTCTCTATTATGATTCCATGAGTGATTTATTTGTTTCTCACAATTAATTTTCAAATTAAATTACATATGGTTGTATATTTATATGCAGTTAGGAACTTATTAAAAGGAATGTTTCATTAGTTGATTTTATCGTATAAATGTTTGCTTTATTTGTTGTGGATAAAATTAAATGTCTAACCCCATAAATATTTCAATCCCAGATGTTGGTGACGTATGATGCAGGAATACATAGTCCAAGAGATAGATGTCAGATGCAAAAATCCAGAGCTTAGGTTGGGAATTGTATAACATATAAGTATAACTTCATGACTTGTAATATTTTGAAAACTTTGTACTAGAACTTGTTGCTTGATTTAATATAAAACCTTACCTAAATTAATTGTTCACTTAGTATATTTTCTATTAACCTTCTATGAATATTGAAAATATTACTAACTTAGATAATAAATTAGGATTAATAAATGTAATCTGTAAGGGGGGTTACACTAAGAGTTACTGAAATGTTACTAAAAGTTACTGAAGAGTTATTAAGAGTTACTGAAAAGTTACTCAAGAGTTTTCGAAAAGCTACTAAAAGTTACTGAAGAGTTACTATAAAGTTACTAAAGAGTTACTAAGAGTTACTAAGAGTTACTGAAGAATTACTAAGAGTTACTGGAGGGTTAATAAAATTTACAAAAAGTTATTAAGAGTTACTGAAGAGTTACTAAAAGTTACTAAGATTTACTTAGGAGTTACTAAAGAGTTACTAAGAGTTACTAAAGAATTACTGAAGAGTTACTGAAGAGTTACTAAGAGTACTAAAGAGTTACTGAAGAGTTACTAAAAGTTACTGAAGAGTTACAGAAGAGTTACTAAGAGTTACTAAAAGTTACTTAAAGTTACTAAAGAGTTACTGAATAGTTCCTAAGAGTTACTAAAGAATTACTAAGAGTTACTACAAAGTTCCTAAAGAGTTACTGAGAGTTAGTGAAAAGTTACTAAGAGTGCTGAAGAGTTATTGAAGAATTACTAAGACTTACTGAAGAGTAACTAAGAGTTACTAAAGACTTAGTAAGAGTTACTAAGAGTTACTGAAGAATTATTAAAAGTTACTAGAAGTTACTAACAGTTACTAAAGAGTTACTGAAAAGTTACTGAAGAGTTACTAAAAGTTACTGAAGAGTTACTAAAAGTTACTAAGAGTTACTAAAGAGTTACTAAGAGTTATTGAAGAGTTACTAAGAGTTACTAAGAGGTACTAAGAGTTACTGAAGAGTTACTAAAACTTACTAAGAGTTACTAAGAGTTACTGAAGAGTTACTGAAAAGTTACTAAAACTTACTGAAGAGTTACTAAAAGTTACTCATAGTTAATTAAATTTAGTAAGAGTTATTAAAGAGTTACTAAGAGTTACTGTAGAGTTACTAAGATTTACTAAAAGTTACTAAGAGTTACTGAAAAGTTACTAAAAAGTTACTGAAGAGTTACGAATCGTTACTGAAGAGTTACTAAAGTTACTAAGAGTTACTATAAAGTTACTAAAGAGTTACTAAGAGTTACTGAAGAGTTACTAAAAGTTACAAAGAGTTACTGAAGAGTTACTAAAAGTTACTAAAGAGTTACTGAAGAGTAAATAAGAGTTACTAAGTGTTATTGAAGAGTTACTAAGACTTACTGAAGAGTTACTAAGAGTTACTGAAAAGTTACTGAAGAGTTACTAAGAGTTACTGAAGAGTTACTAAAGAGTTACTAAAAGTTACTGAAGAGTTATTAAAGAGTTACTAAGAGTTATTAAAAGTTACTGAAGAGTTATTAAAAGTTACTAAGATTTACTAAAGAGTTAGTGAAATGTTACTAAAAGTTATTGAAGAGTTACGAAGAGTTATTGAAGAGTTACTAAATAGTTATTAAAAGCTACTAAAGAGTTACTAAAAGTTATTGAAGAGTTACTAAAGAGTTATTAAGAGTTACTGAAGAGTTACTAAAAGTTACTAAAGAGTTACTAAGACTTATAAATAGTTACTAAAAGTTACTGTAGAGTTATTAATAGTTACTAAGACTTACTAAAGAGTTAGTGAAAAGTTACTAAGAGTGCTGAAGAGTTATTGAAGAGTGACTAAGAGTTACTAAGAGTTACTGAAGAACTACTAAAGAGTTACTCAAAGCTACTAAAGAGTTACTCAAGAGTGACTAAGAGTTACTGAAATGTTACTAAAAGTTACTGAAGAGTTACTGAAAAGTTATTGAAGAGTTACTAACAGTTACTGAAGATTTATTGAGAGTTACTGAAAAGTTACTAAGAGTTACTAAAGAAGTATTAAAGAGTTACTAAAGAGTTACTGAAGAGTTACTGAAGAGTTACTAAAAAGTTACTAAAAGTTACTGAAGAGTTACTAAGAGTTACTAAAAGTTACTGAAGAATTACTAAAAGTTAGTAAGATTTATTAAAGAGTTACTAAGAGTTATTGTAGAGTTACTAACATTTACTAAAAGTTACTAAGAGTTACTGAAAATTTACTAAAAGTTACTGAAGACTTACTAAAGTTACTAAGAGTTACTAAAGAGTAACTAAGAGTTACTGAAGAGTTACTGAAGAGTTACTAAAAGTTACTGAAGAGTTACTAAAAGTTAGTAAAGAATTACTGAAAACTTACTAAAAGTTACTGAAGAGTAAATAAGAGTTATTAAGTCTTATTGAAGAGTTACTACGACTTACTAAAGAGTTACTAAAAAGTTACTAAAAGTTACTGAAGAGTTACTAAGAGTTACTACGAGTTACTTAGAGTTACTGAATAGTTATTGAACTGTTACTGAGGAGTTATTGAAGAGTTACTGAAGAGTTGCTAAAGAGTTACTAAAAGTTACTGAAGCGTTACTAAATAGTTACTAAGAGTTACTAAAGAGTTACTAAAAGTAATTGAATAATTATTAAAATTTACTAAGATTTACTAAAGAGTTAGTGAAAAGTTAGTAAAAGTTATTGAAGAGTTACGAAGAGTTATTGAAGAGTTACAAAAGAGTTACTAAAAGTTACTGAAGAGTTACTGAAAAGTTACTGAAGAGTTACTGAAGAGTGACTAAGAGTTACTGAAGAGTTACTAAAGAGTTACTAAAAGCTACTAAAGAGTTGCTCAAGAGTGACTAAGAGTTACTGAAATGTTACTAAAAGTTACTGAAGAGTTATTAAGAGTTACTGAAAAGTTACTCAAGAGTTTTCGAAAAGCTACTAAAAGTTACTGAAGAGTTACTATAAAGTTACTAAAGAGTTACTAAGAGTTACTAAGAGTTACTGAAGAGTTACTAAGAGTTACTGGAGGGTTAATAAAATTTACAAAAAGTTATTAAGAGTTACTGAAGAGTTACTAAAAGTTACTAAGATTTACTTAGGAGTTACTAAAGAGTTACTAAGAGTTACTGAAGAATTACTGAAGAGTTACTAAAAGTTACTTAAAGTTACTGAAGAGTTACTGAATAGTTCCTAAGAGTTACTGAAGAATTACTAAGAGTTACTACAAAGTTCCTAAAGAGTTACTGAGAGTTAGTGAAAAGTTACTAAGAGTGCTGAATAGTTATTGAAGAATTACTAAGACTTACTGAAGAGTTACTAAGAGTTACTAAAGACTTACTAAGAGTTACTGAAGAATTATTAAAAGTTGCTGGAAGTTACTAACAGTTACTAAAGAGTTACTGAAAAGTTACTGAAGAGTTACTATGAGTTACTAAGAGTTATTGAAGAGTTACTTAGAGTTACTAAGAGTTACTAAGAGATTCTTGAAGAGTTACTAAAACTTACTAAGAGTTACTAAAGAGTTCTTGAAGAGTTCTTGAAAAGTTACTAAAAGTTGTCGAAGAGTTACTAAAAGTTACTCGAGTTAATTAAATTTAGTAAGAGTTATTAAAGAGTTACTAAGAGTTACTAAGAGTTCTTGTAGAGTTACTAAGATTTACTAAAAGTTACTAAGAGTTACTAAAAAGTTACTAAAAAGTTACTGAAGAGTTACGAAGAGTTACTGAAGAGTTACTAAAGTTACTAAGAGTTACTATAAAGTTACTAAAGAGTTCTTGAAGAGTTCTTGAAGAGTTACTAAAAGTTACAAAGAGTTCTTGAAGAGTTACTAAAAGTTACTAAAGAGTTACTGAAGAGTAAATAAGAGTTACTAAGTGTTACTGAAGAGTTACTAAGACTTACTGAAGAGTTACTAAGAGTTACTAAAAAGTTACTAAAGAGTTACTAAGAGTTACTGAAGAGTTACTAAAGAGTTACTAAAAGTTACTGAAGAGTTACTAAAGCGTTACTAAGAGTTACTAAGAGTTACTGAAGAGTTATTAAAAGTTACTAAGATTTTCTAAAGAGTTAGTGAAATGTTACTAAAAGTTATTGAAGAGTTACGAAGAGTTATTAAAGAGTTACTAAATAGTTATTAAAAGCTACTAAAGAGTTACTAAAAGTTATTGAAGAGTTACTAAAGAGTTATTAAGAGTTACTGAAGAGTTACTAAAAGTTACTAAAGAGTTACTAAGACTTACTAAATAGTTACTAAAAGTTACTGTAGAGTTATTAAAAGCTACTAAGAGTTACTAAAGAGTTAGTGAAAAGTTACTAAGAGTGCTGAAGAGTTATTGAAGAGTGACTAAGAGTTACTAAGAGTTACTGAAGAGCTAGTAAAGAGTTACTCAAAGCTACTAAAGAGTTACTCAAGAGTGACTAAGAGTTCTTGAAATGTTACTAAAAGTTCTTGAAGAGTTCTTGAAAAGTTCTCGAAGAGTTACTAACGATTCTTGAAGAGTTATTGAGAGTTCTTGAAAAGTTACTAAGAGTTACTAAAGAAGTATTAAAGAGTTACTAAAGAGTTACTGAAGAGTTACTAATAGTTCTTGAAGAGATTCTTGAAAAGTTACTAAAAGTTCTTGAAGAGTTACTAAGAGTTGCTTGAAGAGTTACTAAAAGTTACTAAGAGTTACTAAAAGTTAGTAAGATTTATTAAAGAGTTACTAAGAGTTCTTGTAGAGTTACTAACATTTACTAAAAGTTACTAAGAGTTACTTGAAAATTTACTAAAAGTTCTTGAAGAGTTACTAAAGTTACTAAGAGTTACTAACGAGTAACTAAGAGTTCTTGAAGAGTTCTTGAAGAGTTACTAAAAGTTACTAAGAGATTCTTGAAGAGTTACTAAAAGTTAGTAAAGAGTTCTTGAAAACTTACTAAAAGTTCTTGAAGAGTAAATAAGAGTTATTAAGTCTTACTTGAAGAGGTACTACGACTTACTGAACGAGTTACTAAGAGTTCTTGAAAAGTTACTAAAAGTTCTTGAAGAGTTACTAAGAGTTACTTAGAGATTCTTGAATAGTTATTGAAGAGTTCTTGAAGAGTTATTGAAGAGTTACTGAAGAGTTACTAAAAGTTACTGAAGCGTTACTAAATAGTTACTAAGAGTTACTAAAGAGTTACTAAAAGTAACTGAATAGTTATTAAAAGTTACTAAGATTTACTAAACAGTTAGTGAAAAGTTAGTAAAAGTTATTGAAGAGTTACGAAGAGTTATTGAAGAGTTATTAAAAGTTACTGAAGAGTTACTGAAAAGTTACTGAAGAGTTACTGAAGAGTGACTAAGAGTTACTGAAGAGTTACTAAAGAGTTACTAAAAGCTACTAAAGAGTTGCTCAAGAATGACTAAGAGTTACTGAAATGTTACTAAAAGTTACTGAAGAGTTATTAAGAGTTACTGAAAAGTTACTCAAGAGTTTTCGAAAAGCTACTAAAAGTTACTGAAGAGTTACTATAAAGTTTCCAAAGAGTTACTAAGAGTTACTGAAGAGTTACTAAGAGTTACTGGAGGGTTAATAAAATTTACAAAAAGTTATTAAGAGTTACTAAAAGTTACTAAGATTTACTTAGGAGTTACTAAAGAGTTACTAAGAGTTACTGAAGAATTACTGAAGAGTTACTAAGAGTACTAAAGAGTTACTGAAGAGTTATTTAGAGTTACTAAAAGTTACTTAAAGTTACTGAAGAGTTACTGAATAGTTGCTAAGAGTTACTAAAGAATTACTGAGAGTTACTCCAAAGTTCCTAAAGAGTTACTGAAGAGTTACTAAAAGTTACTATAAAGTTAATGAAGAGTTACTAAGAGTCACTTAAAAGTTACTGAAGAGTTACTAAGTGTACTGAAGAGTTACAGAACAGTTACTAAAGAGTTACTAAAAGTTATTGTGGAGTTACTAAGAGTTACTGAAGAGTCACTGAAGCGTAACTTAAGAGTTACTAAAAGTTACTAAGAGTTACTGAAATGTTACTAAAAGTTACTAAGAGTTACTCAATAGTTAGTAAAAGTTATTAAGAGTTACTCAAGAGTTACTCAAAAGTTACTAAATAGTGACTGAAGAATTACTAAAGGGTTACTAAGAGTTACTGAATAGTTCCTAAGAGTTACTAAAGAGTTACTTAGAGTTACTGAATAGTTAGTAAAGAATTTCTAAAAGTTACTAAGAGTTACTAAAGAGTTACTAAAAGTTACTAAGAATTACTAAGAGTTACTAAAGAGTTACTAAAGAGTTATTAAAAGCTACTCAAGAGTTACTATAAAGTTCTTAAAATTTTTTGAAGAGTTACTGAAGAGTTACTAAGAATTACTAAAGAGTTACTGAAAAGTTATTGAAGAGCTACTAAAAGTTACTAAGACTTATGGAAGAGTTACTAAAAGTTACTAAGAGTTACTGTAAAGTTACTAAAGAGTTAATAAGAGTTACTGAAAAGTTACTAAGAGTTACTAAAGAGTTACTAAAGTGTTACTCAAAGTTACTAAGAGTTACTGAAGAGTTACTAAAAGTTACTAAGAGTTGTTGAAGAGTTACTGAAGAGTTATTAAAAGTTACTAAGAGTTACTGAGGAGTTACTAAGAGTTACTGAAGAGTTACTAAGAGTTACTGAATAGTTACTAAGAGTTACTGAAGAGTTACTGAAGAGTTACTAAGAGTTACTGAAGAGTTACTAAGGGTTACTGAAGAGTTACTCAAGAGTTACTAAAGAGTTACTAAGACTTACTAAGAGTTACTGAAGACACACTGAAGAGTTACTAAGATTACTAAAGAGTTGTTGAAGAGTTACTAAGAGTTACTAAAGAGTTACTAAAGAGTTACTGAAGAGTTACTGAAGAGTTACTAAGAGTTACTAAAGAGTTACTAAGAGTTACTGAAGAGTTACTGAATAGTTACTAAAGAGTTATTCAAGAGTTACTCAAGAGTTATTCAAGAGTTTCTAAAGAGTTACTAAGGGTTATGGAAAAGTTACTAAGAGTTACTAAGAGTTACTAAAGAGTTATTTTGAGTTACTAAGAGTTACTGAAGTGTTACTAAAGAGTTACTAAAAGCTACTAAAGAGTTACTCAAGAGTTACTAAGAGTTACTGAAGAGTTACTTAAAGTTACTGAAGAGTTACTGAAAAGTTACTTAAAGTTACTGAAGAGTTACTAAAAAGTTACTGAAGAGTTACTGAAGAGTTACTGAAGAGTTACTGAAGAGTTACTAAGAGTTGCTGAAGAGTTACTGAAGAGTTACTAAAAGTTACTAAGAGTTACTAAAGAGTTACTAAGAGTTACTGAAGAGTTACTGAAGAGTTATTAAAAGTTACTAAGAGTTACTAAGAGTTACTGAAGAGTTAGTAAGAGTTACTGAAGAGTTAGTAAGAGTTACTGAAGAGTTACTGAAAAGTTACTGAAAGTTGCTGAAGAGTTACTGATGAGTTACTGATGAGTTACTGAAAATTTACTGAAAGTTGCTGAAGAGTTACTGATGAGTTACTAAAAGTTACTAAGAGTTACTATTAGTAAGAGTTATTGAAGAATTACTAAAAGTTGCTGAAAAGTTACTGAAGAGTTACTAAAAGTTACTAAGAGTTACTATTAGTAAGAGTTATTGAAGAATTACTAAAAGTTACTATGAGTTACTACCAAATGATACAATGCAAGCAAAAGTTCTTAGATTCATCGAGATATAGAACAACATATAAGTTATCATGCTTGCATATCCACCATTTGAGTCTCCAACAATTTTTCCAATAATTACATATCCGATTTGACCTATGGATGAATACGTAGGCATACGTTTCATGCTTGTTTGGGTAATAGCAATCAGATTCCCTAATATCATGCTAAGAGTAGCTAGGATTTCCAGAAGAAGATGTCATTCGTTTGTTGAGAAATAAAAAGGGATATCGAAAATTCGAGTGGCTGAAGCTGAAACAACTACTTTCAAAGTAAAAAAAAGAAAAGCAACGACTGGAGTGGGAAAGTCAGAGTCGAAAAGAGGATTCCTCACTTCTTTCTCTCATTCAAAACCGTGCATGAGACTTTCATCTCGCACGGCTCCTAAGTGATAAAAGAAAGAGGGTGAGTTCTTCTTTCTTTTTTGATTACTTTCCTCGCGTATGTATAAGACTGAATCCTTTCTATTTTGAATTTTCAAAAGGATTACTAATCCTTAACTTTTCGAGGAATCCTTCATCAGTGGTTGTGAATGATCTATTTTTCTCAATCTCTATGACTTGTTCCTACGGAACCAAGATCGAAAACATTAAGAATAAGAATTAAAACCATCTGATTTGATTTGTTCTCAATAGCCACGAGATGATCATCTTAGGGTGATCCTTTTGTTGATGGATGCTCCTATTATACCCGTAGTCTCTGAAGGATGAGAACCAACTATGTAGCATCTACATCGAGAATTCAAGTATTGTATACGTCATTAGTCCAATCCTATGTAGGAACTACCCGTAATAACGAACTTGCAAAATGAATTTGTTTATCATAAAGTGATTCGTTGTTCTTGACTCTGCTTCACCTTAACTATTATTTGAACAAGTAAAGTTATCTCTTGGTCCGAGTGGGAATAACATTTCTCTTCTGCATGTCCATGGAGTTTTAAAAAATCCAAACATCTCAGAAATAGAGAAAGAGATACAAATTTATCGAACGAACCACACTCCTTCGTATATGTCAGGAGTCCATTGATGAGAAGGGGTTGGGGAAAGCTTGAACCCAATTCCTACTTGTGATAAAAGCTAACAAATTGTGATTTATATTATTAGTTCTAAACTTTCTTATTGGCGAGCCACAAAAATTGCACCTATTAAAGAAACTAAAAGAATTATTGAAATTAGTTCAAATGGAAGAAAAAAATCTGTTAATAAATGAATTCCAATTTGTTGACTAGTACTTGTTAAATCTTGCTCTATATTTTGATTGGGTCTTGTCGTCTAAATAATCCCGTGCCATGATGTTTCTAGAATAGTAGTTATTTGTGAAACAAAGATACAGGTACAAACCATCAAAGTAATTCCATCCCCAACGGCCCAAAGATCAAAATTTTGGTAATATTCTGAACCATTCATAAACATCACCGCAAAAATGATTAAAACATTTATAGCGCCCATGTAAATAAGTAGCTGTGATGCAGCCACAAAATGGGAATTTGTTAAATATAGAATAAAGATACACAAACAAGAACAAGTCCCAATGAAAAAGCAGAAAAAAACGAATTCGTAAATAAGACTACTCCTAGACTTCCTAATATTAAACCTGATCCAAGAAATACTAAAAGTTATTAAAGAGTTACTGAAGAGTTACTGAAGAGTTACTGAAAAGTTACTAAAGAGTTATTAAAGAGTTAGTAAAAGCTATTAAAGAGTTACTAAAAGTTACTAAGAGTTACTCAGGAGTTACTAAGAGTTACTAAAGAGTTACTGAGAAGTTACTAAATGTTACTGAAGAGTTACTAAAAGAACTGAAGAGTTAATAATGTGTTACTAAAAGTTACTGAAGAGTTACTGAAGAGTTACTAAGAGGTACTTAAGAGTTACTAAGAGTTACTAAAGAGTAACTGAAGAGTTACTAAGACTTATTGAAGAGTTACTGAAAAGTTACTAAAGAGTTACTAAGAGTTACTGAAGAGTTACTAATAATTACTAAGAAATACTCAAGAGTTACTAAAGAGTTACTAAGAGTTACTCAAGAGTTACTGAAGAGTTACTAATAGTTACTGAAGAGTTACTAAGAGTTACTAAAGATTTACTAAGAGTTACTTAAGAGTTACTCAAGAGTTACTAAAAGTTACTAAGAGTTACTAAATAGTTGCTGAAAAGTTACTAAAAGTTACTGAAGAGTTACTAAAAGTTACTGAAGAGTTACTGAAGAGTTACTAAAAGTTACTAAGAGTTACTCAAGAGTTACTAAAGAGTTACTATGAGTTACTGAAGAGTTACTGAAGAGTGACTAAAAGTTGCTAAAAGTAAAAAAGAGTTACTAAAAAGTTACTAAAGAGTTACTGAAGAGCTACTAAAGAGTTACAAAGAGTTACTAAAAGCTTACTCAAGCGTTACTGAAGAGCTGCTAAAGAGTTACTAAGAGTTACTGAAGAGTTACTAAGAGTTATTGAAGAGTTACTAAAAGTTCATAAAAGTTACTAAGAGTTCCTAAAGAGTTATTGAAAAGTTACTAAAAGTTATTGAAGAGTTACTAAGATTTACTGAATAGTTACTGAAGAGTTACTAAAAGTTACAAAAAGTAACTAAGAGTTACTAAAAGTTACTAAGAGTTAGTCAAGAGATACTAAGAGTTACTGAAGAGTTACTAAGAGTTACTGAAGATTTAGTAAAAAGTTACCGAAGAGTTACTAAGAGTTACTGAAAAGTTACTAAAAGTTACTTAAGAGTTCCTAAGAGTTACTGAAGTGTTACAAAAATGTTACTAAAGAGTTACTGAAAAGTTACTAAAATATACTGAAGAATTACTGAAGAGTGTAAGAATCAATGGTTGAGTTCAAGAGGGGGGGTGAATTGAACTTTAGAAAACTTTTTCGCAAAACACACTTTCTTTGGAAAGAATGATTTATCTTTATTCAATTCTTCTATAGGTAGATTTGATTTTAATCACAGCAAGAATATAGACAAGAAATAAAAGAGATGAAAGTAGAAATTCAACACAAAAGTTTATACTGGTTCACTCTTTACCAGAGCTACATCCAGTTCTTGACAAATCTGCCAAGTTCCACTAATTCCAAGTGAAAATTACAACCAGTAGATATTCACCAATCTACCCCAAGAACTATCTCACAAACCCACAAGATAGACTCTTGAAAACCTCCCAGTAACCAAATCCAGTTACTGTAACCAGTGCAGATCCAAAACCCAACCTGCACAATCACACTTTATACAAGAGTATGAAAAGGAAAAACCTGGACTGCAGCTTTATCAGTACAAATGTCCAGAAGCAATTCTAACTCAGAACTTTCTCTCTTTGATGAACAACAATCTTGATCAAAGCACCTTATGATATGAAAAGTTTTTGAATGCACAGAGAAAGTCACGGATATCATAGCTCTAAGATTGCTTTCAAATGTTTTCTCAAATTGTAGATTCCAAAAGATAGATCAAATCTGTATTTATAGAGTAAAAGAGAGAACCAGAATGTTTAAACTGATAAAAACTCATTCAGAGTAGCAAATGATCGATCAGAATTACAATATAACAGGTCAGAATCAATTATGATCGATTAAAATCAGCTTATGATCGATCAGGCCCAATTATGATCGATTAGAATCAAATTATGATCGAACAAAATGCTTTTCAATCGATTAAAACGACATTTCAATCGATTGATTTTATTTAAGACTTCATTCAATCAATTGATTTGAGTTTTCAATGGATTGAAACAGCTTAGAAAAAAATGATTGCTCTCTGTTTCAACAGATTAAAAAACATTTCAACAGATTGAAATCCTGTAAACTCTTAGACTGAAAAAATGGTCTCTCTGTTTCAACAGATTAAAAAACATTTCAACAGATTGAAATCCTGTGAACTCTTAGACTGAAAAATGGTCTCTTTGTTTTAACAGATTAAAAAATATTTCAACAGATTGAAAATGAGAAACCTTTAATATTTGAAAAATCATTAAGAACATTTTAACCTGTTGATTCTACGATTCAATCAATTGAAATTTCGACTATATATGAACACTTCTTATGTTAAGTGATTTTAACAGATTGAAATCCTTTTCAACAGATTGAAAAACTTAGTTTGTTCTTTTTAATGCTTAAAGGTTAGTTTTTCATGCAGAAAAATGAGTTCAATGAGATGCATCATTTCAAGGCGCTTATCACAAGATCTATTGGCCTATCAAGAGATTAAGTTCTAAACTTCTAACCTGTTCATCTACACACCCACAAACTAAACTATATCAACTCAATATGTCTTCATCAAATCCAACAAGTGCTTCAATCTCCCCCTATTTGATGGAGACAAATATCCACTGCACCTGCACAATTAATAACAGAACAGAGACATATATGATTGTGTGGTGTGTGTGTAGTGATAGTAGTTATAAGCAGCAAACACTTCTCCCCCTATTTGACTTCATCAAATAAAGTGTTTTGATACAGTCCAACAGTACCACATAGGTACCCAAAAAAAAAAACAAGAAAATTAATGAAAATACACAAGAAAACAAAAATATGACAAACAAACTTCATTCATCATCATTCCAGGGACCCTGATTGAATTGAAGATCACCAATTCTGTTGAAGATATCTTCCAGTTGATTGTCAATGTGTTGAAATCTGGCAATGAAATCTTCATCCAGACAATGCTGACGAGCTCGCAGAGCAAATGTCATCTCCATGTGCCTCCTTTGATTGGTTTGCATTTCATTCATTTGATGCAGCATAGTCCTTTCGAACTGTGAGAGAGGCGTGCCACGGTCAGGTTGTGGAATGTACGGAATCATTTCCAATGGAGACTGCTCTTCCATCAGGTCTGTTGGTCTCGCTGCAGCAGCATCTGGGACACCAGTATTGTCATCATCTTCCTCTTGTTCTTCTTCTTCGACTTCTTCTTCTTTCCCAGCCTCTTCTTTGGAAATCCACTCACCGTCAATTTTGATGAACCCCATTTTATGAAGGACAGAGTTGTTAACTTCATTTGTGGGGAGAACAGTTTCAGTCAGTTCTCCTTCCAAATCAACACCGAAATGAGTTAAGAATTTAGAAATCAAAATTGCATAAGGATACCAGAAATCACTTAGCCTTTTCGCTTTGATCATATGGTCCTTGATGACAAAAACCCAGTTCACTCTAATTCTGTGGTGAATACAATACATCAGTACCAAATCTCCTTCATTTAGTACTGCATGATTGCTCCCCCTGGGAGTAAGCTGCTAGGCCACAATGAATGCAAGTATTCTTTCTTCAAGCTTCAACTTTCCAGTGTTGAAGGAACTTACGGAGTCACGCTTATTCTTTAGACAAGAGCGAAAGTACTGAACTTTGTTAAATTCTTCCACATCCAAGGTATACCCTTTGGTGACTTTTACACCTTCATCCTTTAGACCAGCAACGTCTTTCCAGACAGTAGGAGTAATCTCTATTTCCACTCCTTTGACTTGAGTTTTTAGAGTAGACCCTTCAAATGACAGGTTGGTGAAGAAGACTTTAATCAGGTCAGGATAAATCCTACCATTGAGCTCCAGAAACTTCTGAAGTTTCTGATGTTGCAGCAGTTTCCGAACACCTCTGAACCCTTCAGCGTCTAACCATGAAAACTTTAGCACCTTGGGTATATTGATTTGTTTCCTGCTCATTTCATGAATGAACAACTCCATCTTCTCTTGGTTCCCATTGAAACAGGATTCAATGCGTCCTCCTACAGGTGTTTCTTGCACTGCAGCAGAGGATTCTCCTTTGTTGAACTTCTTCCTTCCTGATTTGGTGCGCTTGAACATACTGATTTGTGAACAGAAAACCAGAGAAACAGAGAAGAAGAGAGAATGTTTTCAAGAAGAAGTATAAGCTTTTCAAACAACTAATGTATGCTAATATGAAATGAGAACACTCGGTCCCTTCATCTTCCTTGAATAGACAATTTTGTCTTTAATGATTTACTGTTGTTCTGCTTCAGCGCAGAGATGGTAAAGGTGGAGAGAGAGAGAATTGTTACTGTACACCTTAATTACCCTCACATCTGATATCCAATCACAGTCATTCAGATTTTATTGGATAACTCTGATATTTAAGAGAGTAGCTGAAGCTGATCTCAGTTGTAAATGCACTCAGCACAATCTGCAGTAATTGATTAGAGGCAACACATACTCTACTAACCCTAGAAGAAATTAACCAATTGATTTTTCATAAA